TTTAAAGAACCTGCAAAGGGTTGATAATCCATAAAAAACAAAAATCAATCAATCTACAACCACCGAGTTAAATCTCCAAGCTCACACTTATTTTATTTGCTTAAGTGAAAAATAATATAAAAAAAATATAAGTACAAAATAATTCCTTATTTAGAAATAGTATGGAAAGTACAACACTGAAATCCAAATGTACATTGGGATAGTAAAATATGACTTCCAGAAATTAAGCAAAATATTAAAAAACAGGGAAGTTTCATTAGAAAAAAAAGAAAAGTACTGAACTGTTATGTAATATCAGTCCTCCTATCGGGCAGTGAATGCTGAACAATCTCTTCACAGTTGAAGAAAAATGTTGAGGCAGTGTGGTTCTACAGAAGGATGCTGAACATGTGAGCAACAATGAAACTTTAGAGAAAATTGAAACAAAGGACACTTATACTTAAAATCAGAAAGAGGCTGATGATCAGGAAAGAAGGTTTGAAAAATTTATGCTCACAGGACATATTGAAGAGATAGAAGAAAACAGCACCTAACATACCTAATGAGATTGTGTAAATGGATGGCAGAACAGGGTTTAGGAAAGATAGCAAAAAGAGAATATTTACTAAAAGTTACAAAGGTTTGTGAGGAAATTGCAGATAGCCATGATTGACCATGTCTTGAAAGGGCATGACATAGAAGAAAAACAGTGGCAAGAATTAGCAGTCGTCAATACAACAGCTTTGATTTTGGAAAAGCATTTTGAGGAACAGACTTCTGCATAGATGCTTCCCTCAACATGACAAACTTGACCTCTCCAGATCAAGGATCAAGCATTATTTATCCTCCTTATCCTCATAATCTCTTCCTACCACCTTCTTTCCCCTCATATCACACCTCATTCATCATAACTATTTTAACAGTATCCCTCTACCTTGAGTAGCTCTTGAGCTTTGTATTGTTTAAAATTTAGCATAAAAAAAACTGCAAAAACTATCCAAACTTTCAATTTCAGTCCTGATTAGCTGTTTTCAAGCTGTTGTCCCCTATGACAAAAGGGCAGCAAGAGAAACGGTGCTGATAAAATAAGCAGTTGAAAATAACTATTGCAGAGTTGAGTGGAAATAAATGGTAACTCATTTAAATCTGACCAACTGACACTGATCAGAAAGTGCTTTGTACATCCATAGGAAAAACTCAATGATTTTTCAAGTGCTTACCCCATTAACTAAGCCTCTATTTTGATTGGTCAGTTACTCAATAAAAAGTGGGAGGGCAGAGGCAGCCATGACAACAGACCAATTTGGCACCTACCATTGAGCTATTCATTAACTTACACTGAAGAGAAGATTTTCCCCTTCAAGGGTTGAATAAATATATATTTAAATGTTTTCCTTTATGAAACAAAATATATCAGTAGCAATATTGCTCTTGCTAGACAATTTTGAAGAGACTAAATGAGGCATTTTTTATCTATTTTAAGCGAGATTATATATATATATATATATATATATATATAGAGAGAGAGAGAGAGAAAATATTTTCCATGCATTACTATGTCTATCCCATAATAGTTATATTTGCATACATTAAATGTATCAACTATTATGAGATAGAAATAATACTAAGTAAATATGATCTGAAAACCTTTCAATTATAATAAAATTTCTTTAAAGTCCTGTTTGTATTTGCAGCAAGCTAGCAAATACATAGACAGTATAATTTTGTAAATAGCCAAGTATGTTTTTCTTCCTTTTCTTGAAAAACCAATGACAATTTAGTTAAAGATTTTTTTTTTTTTTATTATCAAACAATATTTTAAGTTTTTTTTATTGCCTAATTTTTTTTAAATGCCATGTCCTTTCAGGAATTAAGCAATGTTTTTTTCCACTCCATGCAAGGCAGTAAATCCACTAAGACACAAGAGGTTACAGGGTGTGGAAGAATTAGGAACAGAAACATTAGTAATGAGCAGAAAGAGAAGAGAGTAATCAGGAGGACAGTAGATAACAATTGACTTAAATTTTTACAGATTAAAGTTGGCTGAAAAGCATGGAGCCAAAAGGGAGTTCCACAAGCGAGAAGTGTGAGAAAAGAAAGTGTTCACATAGAATTTACAGTTATATCTAGCCAGCTCAACTGTAAGTTGTCGATATCTCATTACCAGTCTACACTTTTACTGCACTTTTACTTCAAAAACTCTAGATACCATAGCGAAGAGCTCATCTGAACAATTATCATGAAAGTATTTATAGAAAAGTCACAGAGAGTCAACCTTACAGCAGTAGGAAAGTGACTGAAGCCGAGCTGCCAGATCAGGACCAATAATATTGCTGATTCTACTTTGGATTTTATCAAGTAGCTCAATAGGCACCAGACCATAGGTGGCAGCAATATTCTAAGTATGGATATGTATGATAGCTTCTGGAGAGGAGAATTGTCTCTCACAACACAGTGAATCAACTTTCTTAGCAAACTGACCTAGCAATGATTTCTTATCTGAATTGTTATGGCTTCTGGAGAAAGATAGTAGAGTGGTTCTCCATTGCTTTTTCCACAGTTTTGATTTCAAGGCAGACGTCTTCTACCGATTACCACCCAAGGCTAGGGAATTCAGTCTACCCTGCTATTTAACCTATAGCTTGTGGGTAGGAAAAAGAAATTAATTCATACATTTTCTAAATGGTAATGGTAATATCAACTGTTTCCTTATAAGGAAACTTTCAGCATTCATTGACCGAGCAGCTTTCGGTTGAAATTCATAAAATCTTTCTCTTCAAACAATTTTTCAGGAAAATAGGTTTTTCAAGTTTAATAGCTGTTTATCATTCTTTCCGGTATTGAAGGTAGTTTCCTTTCTAACCTTTTGTTTAATGTAGTGTGGAATGTCAAAATCTTGATTATGCTATTATTTCTTCTTCGAGTTACACATCCTCTCCATTTTAGTTGTTGCTGCTGTTAAAAATCCTCAAATTCTGATGTTTCTGCTATTTGATACAATTATTTGTTTGTGATTCTGAAGTGCCAGTCCACAAGGTTCAAAGAAATATCGTCATTGCCAAGAACCATCGACTTCACTCACTCAAAGCCATTTTTAATCATTGAACTGAAAAAGCAGTTGTATACAGCTGACATTTTAGATATTTCTGAACGGCTTTGGCATGATGCAATTCCTAAAGTAACAAAAAAATTTTTAACCTTACTTTTAAGCATACATACACAGTAAATATACAAGATAATTTGGAAAAACTTCTACTTTGTCATGTTTTGGTAATGAACCTGTGTCATCAGAAAAATAATTTCATTTCATAAGAACAAAATCTACATTAGTCAAACAAAACATTATTCACATTAAATGGCTGGAAACTTTATTTTTACTTTAGTTATATCATTTTAGAAATTAGATTTGAACTAATTTCACACAGCATTTATTTTTATTTTGTTAAAGTTTACATATTTCTTATTGTTTCAGTACAAAAATTTAGTAAGAACAGAAGTTAGACTGAAATAGCTTGGTCATATATTAACTAGTGCACTTATGGGCAAATACACTTAAGATACATATGAATCTATCACTTCTCCCCACAACTATGGATTAAATATGAGAACCTGTATCTAGAAAAATAATTATCTCCCAAAAAGTTGTTTCATTCACACAAAAAAAAAAAAAAAAAAAAAATCAAACTATCGTAGGGTACTCAGATAATGTCACATTCAATGTATTTTCATTTGATTCGATTATATTTGTCTTTTATTAAAATTTTTAAATAAAATATATTTGAAATTAGCCAAATTTTAATTTCAGTAAATTTCAAATTTCTTTCTAGTAAAAAATCAAATGTTCATCTGCCTAACATGAATTGTTTTTTGTTTCACTAATGTAGATTTTGTTTCTATGAAATAAAGTTATTTTCCTAATAATCTAATTAAAAATATGCCATTAAAAAAAGAAAAAATTAAAACTAAATTAAAAACATTCATTACTCACATGCATGTGAGTAAAACAACTTTACTCACTTGCAAAATATATATGTGTGTACAGGTAGTGTAATGGCTAACCATTTGGAACATGAAATCAACAACAAGCTCAGTTCAAATTCCACTCAAGTTTGTTAAATTTGCTTTCACACAAATAGCCTTTGGGAATCCATCCCTTCTTCTGCCAGCTATGGGTGAAATAGTAGCGAAGACTAGGCTCTTCAGCCTTTGGTGGCAACCAGTCCAAGAGAAGGACAATTCTGAATTATAAAAAAAAAAAAAAAAAAAAGCAACTGAAGCTATCAATAGCCATTTATTAATCATGGCTACTAAATGTTCTCACTTTCCAGCCTTGACAGAGTTAAAAAAAAAACATTTGCACAACCTTGTGGGTGAAGAATAGTTTCCCACTCTACAACCCCTTTCTCACTTACAAAGCATTGTTAGCCTTCTGCTTTTCATACCAGATGTTCAGATGAACTACATTCCTTGGTTCCAGCCCTTCAGAGCTACAACCCACTAGGCCATGTTCAGCTGAATCACCATCATTATTTTCATATTTGATTTGTTAAGGAGGAAGTTCCACTCGGATAGTTTCTTCCCCAGAACTAGTACATTGTGGAATATATTCCTGAGAAGATGCTTCCCCATTCATGACAATCTTAACCTCTTCAAGTTTAAAGTCAACAATTATATATCCTACATAATATGCACCTCTTTCTCATTCCCTGTACACCCTTAGAACCATTTCATTTACTAACCCTCTAACTTGAGTGGCTCTTGGGCCTTGTTAATCATTGCAGATTAATATTTAATGGCATAACTAAAGAATTTCTCTTATTTGTTTCTATTTTTCATTATTGCTATTCTAAGGTTGCAACAAATGAAGCAAACAAAATTACCCAACAGTTCATCTAAGTACAGCAACACACAACCTGATGATGGCTGAAAATAATGCCAATGAAAACATTAATGCATTATATGTTATCATTTTTTTATCCTAATGTGCTGCAGCTACAGTAATTTTATATCTATTCTTACAGATAAACAACAAGAACTTGATGTCCCGACGCTGAAGGTAGAAGACACAGAACGGCCTGGAATTAAAGATACATCCTCCAAAGAGAAAAATCGGCCTATGTGCCAGATATCTGGAGTACGTAAACTTAAACACACAAACAGTTTCACCGGAGTTGTCCCAAAATATGGTGTGGAAACACCTCATAAAGAAGAACTTGGAAAGGTAAGTTTTCCACACACACACGAAAACATTTCAACAGCAGGAACAAACCTTTAGACATAATATTGTCTATGCTACTTTTTTCTTTTAATTTCTTATTGTTACACACTTTAAAAGATCCTGGAGAAAGAGAAGACTTTTTTTTTCCTCTATTGATGTAAACTTATCTCTCCATTATGACAGAAAGTGGTCAAAATAGTTTTGTAAAACCCTTCAAATATTTTTGGATGTACTGTACCATTAAACTTTCATCTTACAATATGTCACATGTATTTGTATATATTTGTAAAGAAAAGTCTAGTCAGCCGCCTAACCTATCAACAAGTAAAAAATCATCACTTCAAAATTCTTCAAATGGAAAATAGGGCAAATCAACATCCAGTTCGAATCAGATGACTTCAAGGTACATTTCATTTTAGAACGATGCAAATCTTGATGATGCCAGTCTGCAAAATGTGCATCTATTTGGTAATGATTCCATTGTACATTTGGGATCCAATTATATTGGACAGACCTAAAGGAGAAATGACAACATGCAGTTGGAATTGCAATATAAAAATAATTAGATATTGTATATCTTGCATCAGTCAGAAAGATTAATGGCTGCCAAAAGCTTATGTCCCAACTGAAAAAATGTGTTCTTTCAGAAAAAGTAAAGCCCTACATAAAATTAACTATATTTTGTGTAGTAGAAAAAAGAAAAAAAAAAAAGGAAGGAAACTGTGTAGTAAGGGAGATTTTAATGTTACCGCAAGTATTTTTGAATGCCACTGCTCCTTTTATGCTAAAAAGATATCACTCTTGGAAACCTCAAACAACAATGGAGAATTTTTGTTATTCATAAATGGTATTCCATCCTAAACACATGATTTGTCCATCCCAAGAAACACTGGATCATATGGCATAGCCCAGATAAAAAGATCAAAATCTCAGCTAAGGCAGTTTGTGACAGTTTGAATCTCATTACAGACTTCTTGTAAAAACTGATAACAGACACCAACAAAAAAGCTAGCTTCACTCACATAAACCAAGGAAGACAGAGGTATAGCATGAAAGCCCTTAAAAAGGGAAGCATAAGAATAGAAATCCGTGATGAACACAGGTCCAAATTGATGTCCCTAAAGTTTGACCAAAAAACAGAGGAATCAAATCATGTAATCATATCTTCATTAGCCAAAGTATGCGAGATCATATCTAGGTGGACAAAAAAAAAAGGTACTCTTGTGGGACAAAAATCCTGAATTGAAAAGATTGATACAAGACAGAAACAAACTGAAGAGGAAGAAAAATGGTTGGAAGACTACTAAACAAAGAAAATAAATAAAAAAAAAAATAGCTAATGCTCTGAGAAATCAATATTTTATGTAAATTAAAAGCCAAATTAACAAAACCAAACTGTATAGACAGTGTGTTGAAATGTAAAGAAAATCAAAAAACCACAATGGTTTCATACAATTGAAACCAACACTGAAAAAAATGTCCTTGTCTCAAAAAAAATACTTTGAATCACATTTCAACTCTGACCACACAAAAGAGGTTTGCAGAAATAGAACATATGCAAATATTCATCCAATCATTGCAAAATTTATCTCCAAAGAAATAATAACAAACCTAGTGATGAGGAAGTTAAGAAAGCTATAAAAAAAAAAAAAATTAAAGAATAATAAAACATTACTTGACATTGAAACTGAACTTCTGAAAATAGCTTACCTTCTCTCCAAATTCAATAACAAGTTTCTCAATTTAATAATGGAGATCTACAGTTAGAAACACATTCCAAAATAGTGGGATATATATTGTGCATTAATCACTATAGGTGGTTGATTTTGTTTAGTGGCATATCAACCCCTAATTAATGCACTATAGAGACAAAAAGGTAATTATCAAGGTCTACACACAGACAAAGGTATCTCAATTAGATCCATCATCATGAAAGTACTAATGAACATTGTAATAACTAAGCTCTCATCCTTTTGTGAAAGTCAACTCCTCATAATCCAATTTGGTTTTCATTCTGGTCAAAAATTTAATGAGGGCATATATCAGAAAACAACTTTAAGAAACTGCACATCTCTAATAGAAAATTGCATACCTGCTATGTCAACCTTACAGATGCAAATGACCATATCAATAGAAACTTTCTCCTTATCTATTAGAAACTGCCTCCCTAACTAACACCTTTATCCACTGTGCCATGTCCTTGCAGACATCTGTGTATGAATTTCTGGGTATTATAAACCTAATGTCTTCAGCAACCATTTTTTATCAGAGCTCATATTGCAATTTTCATTGTTATTATTGCTTTTCTTTGGCACTCCTTATTACTGGTTCCCATATTCATTTCTATGCTTGGTCGACTCAGATTTTTGTGGCTTAGCATATGTGCTGATTCCTTAAGTTTACGAATTTTCCAATGATGGTCTTTGTCTATGATTTCAACCTGTTCACACAGTGGGTGGTGATCTCTCTTTTCAAGATTTTGAAGCAAGCGAAATAAAAGGTCCATTTCGACATTCCAACCACCTGAAGAAGGCCGGAGCATACAACGACCGAAACATTGTGATAAATATGACAACAAAGATGAGGGCAATAATTCGAATAATGTAAATAGAAACTATATCAGTCCACAAAATCATGTCTGACAAGGAACACAATATGGAAACATTTCAAACCTCATCCAGAGTATGATGAGGAGGAAATGAGAGCAACAATCTATTTAATCTCTTCATAGACTATGCCACATTCATATACAAGCACAGATATGAAGAGATGGGCACTGATCTTTTAAATGTTATGTACCACATCCCAAATGAATCTACTCATAGAAAACAGAAACCCTTCCTTCCTGAGGCCAATGTACTGATGATGATGGAGGCTATGCTGATGACATAGGTATTCATAGTTGGTATAAAAATGATCTTGAACCAAAAATCAACATCCTCTATCAAGTATTCCAAGAAATAGGACTCAAGATAAACATTTCCAAAACAGAAACGATGATCTAGAATCAGAATGAAAGAAGTTATGGAAAGTACCCTGGATCCCTCATAAAAATTAAGCACGTGTAATTAGTAAAATTTAATTGTTTTAGATATTTCAGTGTCTGGATCAGTTATAACAAATTTAGTATAATTGATACGAGAATTGAACATAGAATAGGTTGGATTTGAGGTAGTTTTATCCAACACTGCAAATTGCTATAAATCTGAAAAACTCAAGTCATATTCTTAAATAGCTTTGCAGATCAAGACTTTCCCATGGATGTCATGCATGATACTCAACACATTCAAAAACATCTAAACTTCCTTCCTGACCTTATATTTAAAGTAGTTTTGAATGTCAGCATTTTATGTCAATATTTTCTCTTTGAGTTACATGTGCTACTCATTTTATTTGTTGCCACTGTTGAAAGTCTCCAATTGATGTGGTTTCCATTATCTGATGTAGTTCTTTCTTTATGATTCTGTAGCATGAGTTTACAAGGTTTAAAGAAGGATGGTCTTTGCCAAGACTCTCAGTTTTCACTTGCTCAAATCCATTTTCAACTATAAATGGTTGTATGCAGTTGAGAGTTTAGATATTTATGAATGGGTTTGGCCCCACACATGATATCCATCTGGAACTCTCAATCTGAGAACGCTATTTAAGAACATGATTTGCAATTTTAGGTTTTATTTTTTGATTTTGTAGCCATTTCTTATTCTATGTTCAATTAAATCAATATAATTACAATCATTTGGGTAGGTGTCCACATTATAAAAGCCTAGTATGATCAACAGGTCATTTGGACTCAAAGGATCATAGTGCAGTATCATTGTTTTCAGTAACCCCAATTTTAGATTTTATATAAAAAGACTTATATAGGCATGTGGCCAAGTGGTTAGAATGTTCACTTTCCGATCATGAGACCTGGTTTTGAATCTCACCATGGTTGATTTGTTAGGAAAGTAACTTCTTGATGTTATTGGTCAGGAGAGGCAATCCCAGCATGCATCACTTTTAGAAAGTGCCTGAAAACCATTCCATGGGTTGACTCAGGCTTTGTGAGTGAAATTGGGTAGTCAGAACTGTTCATAAGCCATCAGTGGTTGTGCTAACTCAAAGTTACAAGTCATCATGACCGAGGGTTTGAGTGTACTGGTCTTGTTCAAACTGCTAGTCATGCTAGATTATGCATTCTCTCCCAGTTGATCATGCCAGATTATGTGCATTCTCCCAGAAAATGATTGTAAGAATAATCTTATTTTATTTTTCCAATATTGCATTAATAATTTTTGAGGATAACTGATTTTTCCAAATACTATTTAACCTGGTGGGAAGGGAGGATATTTGCACATATGTAATTGTAATGAAGCCAAGTGAAATTCAAACTCCACTCTCTGAATTCTCATTCTGGACTGTTACATCACACACTCAAGAAAATGGAATACGTGTGTCTTGTCACTAGTGAACCTGTTCGAATTTCATGGATCAGTAGTTATCATTATTTACATTATTGATCTGTGGACTATTCTTATTTTTGTTGTTATCACAATGTTTTGGCCATTGTGCCATCTGGCCTTCATCAGGTGTATGTTTATCCAGGTAACCTACAGGGAATTTTGAACTGTAGGATCCCCAGATCAACATAACCTGATGAAGGCCAGAGTGCACAACAAATGAAACATTGTGATAACAATAACAAACAAGATGAGGACAATAGTCCACATATAAATAATCTAAATATTTGTTTTAGCTGCTGACCAGATAAGTATTACATCAAATAATAGTTTAACATGTAGAATCTCCCATTGCAACTTCATGACAGTTTACCAGCTCACATTTGCAATATAAGGAATGCATAATGTCATGCAGTCAAATAAGGAGTTACTTGCCTCCAGAACCGATTTAAAAAAAAAAAAAAAAAAAAAAACATTTGCATTGACCTTCATATTATATTGGATAAATTGGTGTAGCCTTGTGATAGCATGCAGTATCTTTTTATCATAAGATAATTATATTCAGTGTACAGTCTGACTGCCTTAATTACAGCAGTCCATGGTCTGACAACTTCAATGATTTGGGTCTTTTTTGAGTTAGTTGCTATTAGTTCATTGAGTGGGTACAAAGGCAGTGCTAAACATTGTTTACTATTTTCTGCAGCAGCTGACAGCAGCAGAGTGTTTTGGTGATACAGTCTTGCTCATTTTTTATATATATAGCTGCATATTTATCCATTCAGGATATTAAATATATATAATTTCTTGGTTTAGGCTTCTTTTAACCTTATTATTGCAGGAAAAAATAAAAGCCTTGTTTGGAAGCATTGATTGTTTTATTACCTATTCTAAGCTCTGTTAATAACACAGCGATATATGTGGAATGAGCAGGCAAGACTATGTTTTTTTTTTTTTAGAAATGATTTCTGTCTGCCAGTAGTTGCATGGTCCTAAGGGTGCCATATTAAAAAGGTTGGACTGTATCAAAATTGTATACTGTAAAATTTTCCCCTTTTTTCTCCATTTTCAAAATATTTATCCTCTTTAAAGAAAGACGACAGCAAAATAATTTTAAACAGATGAAATGACAGCATTTATTAATGAATTCTTGACAAAATACTGGGGTTAAGTAGAAATGTCACAAAAACTTTAAAATTTCTCAAATTAGAACTTGCAAAATTTCAGTATTTATTAAAAATGCTTTTAAATTTAAGGTTTGGTAATCTAGCCAGTTTAAATTTCTGTTGATATTTCTGAGATGAGGTATTGTAAATATTTACATTGTTCAGACTGTTGTCCTCATCTTTATTGTCATGTTCACAACATTTTGGTTGTTGTATGCTCCAGCCTACTTCAGATGATTGGAATTTCAAATGGATGAAATAAAGGGTTCAGTTTGAAATTCCAACCACCTGAAGAAGGCTGGAGCATACAATGGCTGAAATGTCATGAACATGACAATAAAGATGAGGACAACAATGTAAATAATTTAAATTTAATTTAAAATAAAAATAACACAAAGAAATATTAATGGCCCTTTTTAATGTATTATAGTTATTTCTCTTAAAATAATTAGAGAAATAACTATGTCTGCCTTACAAAACCTTGCATAAGGAAGAAAATAGACAATTTCCTAGACTTCCTTCATTTGAAGGTTTTTCTTAACAGATTATTTTTTTCATAAGTTATTTTTTAAATAATATTAACATGCTTTTTTGCTGTCTTTTTTTTTTCAAATCATAAAAAATAAAAAATTGTGAAATAGAAAACTCCAATATCCAAGAAAATTTTATTAATTTAAATAATTTCTACTCTCAAAACTAGAAGCTATTTGTTAATTTTTATTTTATTTTTTTTTTTAATATATTTTGTAATTTCTGTCATTTTTGCGTTTCTACAGTATTTGGCAGACATTGACAAATGGGGCGTGGATTTGTTTAAAATCTCTGAATATTCCAATAACCGGCCACTCACTTGTGTGACATACACTATATTACAGGTAAGTTTTAAAAAAATAATGTTTGTTTCAATACTAAAGGAGTTAAATATACTAAGAAGGATTTAAAATCTGAAAAGAAAGCTATATAATTCAAAATATCCTTTTCTGATGAAAAATACAACCAAAGTAAAATTAGACATTTGACCCAACAAAATTATGAAAATATTGCTTGGTTAAGAAATTTTTCATTTTTGTTCTATGATAAGTGTAAGAGCATAGTGTGTTATTAGATATAGTTAAAAGAGTTGGTTTTTTTTTGTGTTTAAACCATTATTCTTTATGTACCCCATCCCTTGAAGACAATGGCTCACCACAACTTCCTACTCTTTGCAGCGCTAAACGTTGTCTATTTATTATCCCTCTCATTCCCTGTTCTACTCATTATGTAAATTACTCTGTTTCCCTCTGCTCTTCTAACTTTCAATATGTCTTGTGACTATTAGATTTTCCAAACCCTCTTTCCACATTATATGTCCCAGAAATTTCAACTGTCTTTTTCTGATCCTAAACAAAAATGTCCTTTTTTGATTCCAGTTTCTGTAAAACTTCATTATTTACATGTTGCATCCATAGTATTCTCAGTATCCTTCTGTTCTCCTCTTCATCTGTAAGGAAATTGTCCAAAATTAACTACCTATTACATAGCAGTTCAGCATTCTTATCTTTGTTTCTAAAAAAAAAAAAAAGATTTTCCTGTTTCTTAATACTCTGAGCTTTTGGAAGGCATCTTTCACTATTGCAATGCCCCTTTGCAATTCTCTCTCAAATTCTTTTTATGTTTTTTTAATTATTCATTTAGCATATATTGAACTCAAAACATTTTATTATCAGGAAAGAAACTTGCTGAAGACATTCAATATTCCGGCCCAGACTGTTGTGACCTATTTGATGCACCTGGAAGACCACTACCATCGAGACGTCCCATACCATAATGCCATGCATGCTGCAGATGTCACACAGTCAACCCATGTTTTGTTGTCAGTATCAGCTCTGGAGGTAAGTAACTTTGACTAAAATATAATTCTTATACAATCAACAAAAACACAGTAATCTTTTTTTTTCTTTTCAAAGATCATTTATAATGTGAAATAGCTTCAGGAAGTCAATGTCGCAATCATGTTCCATAAACTTATGGCTTGACTTCATGAAGAAAAAGATTTTGGAGAGTTTTCAGAACCTTTCCAAATCAGTTGGGGTGAGGGGGACAAGTGAATAGCCCTCAGAACTACACTTCTATGCTGTGTCCCTTCAGGGCATTTGTGATCACAGCTCTCCACAATTTCCTGTTCTTTGTAGCTCTTAATAAATTTTATCTTTTATTTATCTCTCCTAAACCCTGTTCTGCCATTTATTTACTGAAGCTCACTAGGTAGGTTATGCACTGTTTTCCTCTGTCCCTCAATCTATCCTGTGGGTATCAGATTTTCAAAGCCCTCTTTCCTCATTTTGAGCCTTAGAAATTTCATTTGTCTCTTCTTCATATTAAGTATAAGTATCCTTTTTACTTTCATTTTCTCTAAAAATGTTTAGTTTATGGTATTCTCAGCATCCTTCTGTAGAACCACATTTCTGTTGCTTCAAGTCTCTTCTTCACCTGTTTGGAGATTGTTCAGCATTCACTGCCATATAGAAGGACTGATATTAAATAACAGTTCAGTATACTTTTCTTTGTTTCTAACAAAATTTTCCTGTTTCTTAATACTTTGCTTAGCATTTGGAAAGCATATTTTGCTATCCCAATGCATCTTTAGATTTCAGTGTTGCACTTTCTGTCAGAAGTTCTGAAATGGACAGTGGTGTGTCCATTACAGACTCCAACCCTTTAAATCAAGTATTTACATACCATAGCAGTAATTTCCTGGGGTTGTAGGTTTTCTATTAGAGAATTTTTTCTTCTAAGATGAATGTTGAGGTTTGCTGCTGCTGCTGCTTTGAAGGAGTATTCTCTTGTCATAGCATTACGTGAACAAGCCCTTTTAATCTTGTGGTGTTTTTATTACTTCAACTCCATACCATGTTAGAATTTGGGTGATAATTGCAATTTTCTATGTCTCAAAGAGAGTGCCTCTGTAGGTTGAGTTATGTCAGTTACACTGCATGGAATGTTAGTTTGTTCATCAGCCAACCGTTGCTAAAATTAAAATGACAATAAACTTTGCTGAAATATGTTTTTCTCTACTTTTATTAGCTTTATAAGAATTATAAAACATTCAGGGGGTATCATTTGCCCAAGAGCACATCTATATTGGGGGGGGGGAATAATGGCTCAGTCACTGTATAATACCACCAACTACTGTCACTACAGATGTACAAAGATGTATCAACAAGTTCATAGCTTAATAATGAAAAATAGAATTCCTCTTATGCAAGATTTTCAACATCATCTCCTTTGTTAATGCACTTAGTCAAGTACATCAATATGTCCATAGCTTAATGATGAAAAAAAAAAGAAAGACATTTCTGTTAAACAACAAATTTGTTTTTCAACACAAACACTTTCCTGACCAATTTACTTAATTTGATAATGAACATTAATTGCATTTATTGAACATTATACGGTGAAAATTTCAGGTTAAAATTCAGCTAATAACTACATGTCAAGCTATAGACTTATTGATCCACCCTCATCTCATCAAAAGAATAATTAAGGATGAACAAGGTGGTTTGTTGTTCACTGTGAAAATTATACATTTATGGTTTATGCATCTTTTGCATTTAAAGTATATTGACAGAGTACCAGAAATTATTGGCATAATTTTACAGTTGCTTTGATTACCTTGACCGATCAGACTGTCAGGTGCCAATTTGGCTCTGCCAGTCACAGCATTTTGCTGTTTTGACCATTAAATGTTACCATCCTTTACAATATCCATTTTTAATTTTAATCTCATTTTGTTATTATTGCAGAATGTATTTACAGATCTGGAAGTATTAGCAGCCATATTCGCTTGTACAATTCATGATGTTGATCACCCAGGAGTTACAAATCAGTTTTTAGTAAACACGAGTAAGTAAATGGTTTATTTTCTCTAAAGTCCCTAATTGAAAATTTAAACACAAGGAAATTAATGCCACTTTTAAATGAACAAAATAGTTTTATAGACAATAGGATTTATGAAGAATTATTAAAAAATAATGTCAGATAATAAAAATTAGGGGACTCATCATTGAGAGAATTTTTGGGATAAAAGCATTGGTTGAGTAATCCAAAAAGTGACTTGATCCCAAAGAGTTAGGATTTCATTACCTGGCTACAGCAAAAGGAACAAAAACTTCGAAAGTTGAGTTACTAAAGGTAATTAACTGAATCAGAGATATCCAAAAAAATAGCATAGCACCTGGAATTAGAACAATCTACCCATGTGGACTAAAAGGGTTTAGTTTGAAATTCCAAGTTATAACACCTGAAGGGCTGAAATGTGAATATAACAATAAAGATGAGGACAACGGTCTGAATGATGTAAATAAATCTCTAACTTACATTTATGAGAAAATAGAGGTTTGCTAACCTAAGAACGTAAAAACGTGATACATGTTCTTAAATAACCTTGTCAGATCTATATGGATGTCATGCAAGTTGCCCAACCTGTTCAGAAATGACTAAACTGACAACCACCACATTCTCAGACAATTGATTAAAAATTGCTTTGAGCAAATGAACCCTGTAAGTCTAGGAGAGGACTGTCCTTCTTTGAACCTCATGAACTGGCACTGCAGAATCACAAAGAACTGCACCAGATAACAGATACCACATCACTTGAGGACTTTCAACAGCAGCAACAAAAATGAGTATCTCATTACTCGAAAAGAAGAAGATGATGATGATGATATAGTAATAGCGATTTTGATATTCCACACTACTTCACACAAAAGGTTAGGAAGGAAACCCCTATGAGTACTGGAAAGAGCAATAATGGTGGACTTTAGGAACCTATTTTCGTGAAAAATTGTTTTAAGAGAGATTTTATAAATTTCAACTGACAGTAGCACAGTGGGCATGCAAAAAAAAAAAAAACTTGGAACATGCATGCTGTGAATCCCAAAAAGCTTGCTCTTTTTTAACTTATAGCCAAGGTCAATGTAGGTTCCTAAAATCAGTGCTCCTTTAGTAGCCGCACATAGCTTAGACTACACACATCACTCACTCTTTAACTCAAAGAAACTTTTTCTTCATTCTTTACAGAGACTTAAGAATGTTCCTTGAATTTGCATTTTCTTTCAGGAACATTCCTTAAAATTTTCTCTACACTAAAAAGTTTCTGATAGAATAAAAATTTCTATCTCACATTGTTTCACTCTTGTTTGTTTATTTTCTCTTTTAGTATTTGTTTGTCAACACACAATGCCAACTCAACTTCAAACAACAACCCCTAACCTAATAACAACCACCCTCCAACTTTTCTTTTGTGAGTCCCTGATTTTGTTAGTCATGATTGAAAGAGATTGAAACTACAACATGGCTGCCACTATACTTGCCTTGGGTCATAAGTCAAATGTTCTATTTTTCTTTTCTTTTGTATAAGATATTTGAGTAAAGATAAGGCTCTATTTAGTGTTTAACTGAGACATTATTATTAAAAGAGCTCAGGAGACTCTTATAAAAAGAAAAAAAAAAAAAAAAAGCAAATTCAATTCAATATGAAAAGCCAAAACAGTTATTTCTTCAGACCTCACCATTATACCACAGACTGAATTGATGATGGGCACTTTTCTTGGTTTTCTTTCCTCACTTTATTTCAATAGGGAAACAATAGTCATAATGTTGTTTCTTGGAGTAAGTGAGTGGGTGATAGAGAGGATGAGTGTTAACAGGTTGGCTAACTATCCATCACAACATGGTGGCCTGGCACACTAAGGAATCTGGAAATGGCAAGGCCTCTTCACTCTCCTCTTCTTGCAACCATAATGTCTTCACACATTTTTTGCTCTTATATTAAAACTTAAACAAGATAATACATCACCAACAGTATTCCATGCCACAGGGTTCAAATCTCTTCCTGCTCAGTTCAGATTGTTAGAATTCTGACCAGTATGGGCAAGCATATATATTCTGTAATGCAGTTTCATACTAACTTTTCAGATATATTTATCTGGAGATGATTGCTCTCAAAAGCAAAAGCTATTGTTAATCTATCAATCCCACATTATTATTAAATTCAATATGTAATCTTTATTTTAGATACTCAATAATGATTTGAAATACAATGGTTCCTCCCTGCTTATCCAATCACCACCAGAAATAAACAATTTCATAAGTTTTTCTTGAGAAAAAATGCTTACAAAGTAAGGAAGAATTTATGCTGACAATTTACATATTCTTATAGGAAACTTTATAGCTACTTTTATGAGTTGCCAACTTAAAAAGAAGAACAAGCTTTTATTGGGGTTGCTGACATATTTGCAAAGAATGAATTTTCTATCTGCCACACAATTTTTCTTACAGTAAATGTATAGAAAGTGTTTTTTTTTTTTTGCAGGTTATTTAAAGCCAGAAAATATTTGATTCCGAGGTTTTTTTGGGGTTTTTTTTTTTGAGATAATGATTTAGTGATACAAGTTTTACTAATTAACCCATAGCTGAAGGGGAGAAGAGGTGAATTCTTACCTTTCCCAAGGGTATTTGTGCTTAAGTGAATTTAATGAACCCAAGTGGAATTGGAACTCTGCTTAGTGAGGACTACTGTATGATAAGATACAGGAAACGTTCAGCATTCATTGACTGAACAGTTAGAGTTTACTGTAAGTTGAAATTTATAAAAAAAATTTTCTTAAAGCAGTTTTTCAAGAAATTAAACTTTTCAAGTCCACTGAATGTGATAACTAATATAGATGGAAATTCTCTTGCATTTTTTTTATTTTTGGTTGTACCTCTTCTAGTTACATGTGCTACCTATTTATTTTTGTTGGTGGTGGTGGAAGGGTTAAAAAAAAAAGTAAGTTTTATTATTTTTGTTTTCATTAAGCAGATATAAATCTATATAATAAATTCAAAAATATCTGTGAGTGTCACACTTTTTCAATTAAAGGGACACAACTCTAACTTTTAAATATCTCCTGCCAATGTCTGTATGTCACTATGTCACACTTTTTCCACTTTACTCCTAGAGGCTATAGCCCAACATATACCATTTTGAAATCAGATCAACTCTGAGCAAATTAAAAACATTTTGAGCCGGATCCAGACCCACAATCCTGAAATTTTTAATTCTCAAGTTTTCCTTACTGCAGTTGTTTTGACAATGATTTATTTTTTTATTTTACATGATGTTTTGTAGAATAACAATAACTTTGAAATAAATTTGGGAATAATCAAAATTAATTGCGAAATCCACCCATGAAATAAAAATAGTTGTTTTTATGGACAGTAAGGGCCTACTTACATCAAATTGTCTTCAAGTGGTGACAGAAGAATTATCGTTAAACTTTTAAAAAGTAAGCTTAGATATTAATGCAATACTTAAATGCAGCAATCAATTTTGAGTTCTTCTGTAGTTTATTGTTTCCTATCATATCTACTCTTCCCTACCTATTGTGATGAAGGCCCAATTAACAGCCATCCACAGGAGGTAGCTTAAATGACACCCAATTGGGCAGCTTTTAAGCTAGTAAATGAATCTCTTAAAATTCAAAAGAAAGGATTATCACTATTCCTTTTGTTACAGACTTTTTGTTTTCAACACAATGTTGTTCAACCATGATGCTAGATTCTTTTTCTTTATTATCTGTGAATTGCCAGGACTTATTGAGAATGATAGTGGAGAGTAGGTTTTTCCATTGCCTTTTCTAGTTTTTGAATTTTTGTCCTTCTTAGAATAGCAACCACACAAAGCTAGAAAGAGTTCAGTCTACCCTGCTATTTGACCTAAAACTAGTGGTGGAATTCATACTTCCCCCAAATGCTGTTAGTGCATAGTGAATTCTATGCACTAAGGCAAAGCTTGAACTCAGAACAGCGATTTCTTTTTCTTTACCAATAATGGTTACACTATATGCACATTGTTATGAATAAAATAAATGGAACATCTTCAAAAATAAAGATGAGGATATAAGACTATACATTAAAAAAATATTAAAGATTATTTCTTTTATGTTAAAATATAATTATTTTCTATTATTCATTCACAAGTTGATCATCAATAAATAATTTTAACTCATTCTATTAAATATCTAAATTATTTACACGATACCACAAAGTTATTGAAGCAGAAATTGCAAAGGCTGAATTAAGTTGTCTGGTTGTATTGTTAGATGCAATTGCTATCAAATTTGTTTTTCTTAGTTTCTATATGTTAAAAGATATGTTACATAAAAATAGCACTAAAGCTAATCCTGCCGAGATATTGTGATTCTATACAAATATGCCTTCCAAATTTGTGCTTATTTTATGCTTGGGACTTACACGTAATCTGTTTAAAATTCAACCTTCTTTGGTTTCAATAATACTGTAAAAGACTGACATTGTTTCAGTCTCTCATTCTCGTTCTTTTTCTATTTGTAGGTTCAGAGCTTGCCCTTATGTATAATGACGAATCAGTGTTGGAGAACCATCACTTGGCTGTAGCATTTAAACTCTTACAGGAAGAGAACTGTGATATTTTTGCAAATCTTTCCAGAAAGCATCGCCAATCACTTAGAAAAATGGTTATAGATATGGTAAGAATTCCTTTTTTCTTCTGCCCCCAACTCCTACGCAAACACACATATTGATAAATAATGTTGGATATGAATGAGGATCTATCATAAATTGGCAGCTTGAATTCTGATCTGAAATTTTAAGTGTATAATGTTTGATCTATGTAGCTATATTCATCATTTAGTAAAGTGCATTATGTTGAAAAGTTAATATTTGTTGTATAAAACAAATGCTTTCTTCATCAGACCTTGGTTCACTTATGTATTTTTCTATCTAGTTTCTTCTTGGCTGAAAGGAGTTGCTAGGAAATTCTCAGAAGGGGTGCCAAAACATTATGACCATTTCTGGGAACTTTGGCACAACAGCTTTTCAACACCCACTCTATATGAGTATTAGAGAATATTAATTGAAGCTAGTCAAGCTATGTGGCAATTAGGTAAAAAAAGGACAGCCAATAAATATTCACATTTGAACAAATAATGAGAATCATGTATGTCAGTTGTCATAAAAATAGGATTCAAATCTTGTTTTATGCACATCAAGAAATGGACTGCCTTATCTATTTTTTTGCATTTTGACCACTATTCTGTATTAACATTTTGTGTTGACTTTATCTTCCAATAATTTTTTTTGTCACCATTAAAATAGAATGAAAATAAAGCAATCGTTCCTTTTAACCGAAGCCACAACAGTAGAAGGATTACAATTTTGGTTCCACATGAACTAGATGGAAATGCCAAACTAATTCTGAACTGCATTTCACTGATTGACCTATCTATAATACCAGTATATTAATTATATTTGACTTTATTACTCTTTCATGTACCTAATAAGTTGGGTGGGATAGAAATTTATTGTGAATTCTTAGTTTGGGGATGGTCAAAGTTGGTACCACTAATGTTTTAACACACATAAAAAGTATAAATTTGCAAAGGTCATAATAAATGAATAAAGTGGGAGAAAGATGGAAGTTGACTTCTTCTTAGGCATGGGACAGTAACATTTTAAAAAATTAAAGTTATTTTTGATAGACTTTTCTTTGTTTTTTTTGTGGGGGGAGGGGGTCCTAGCCGATATGTAAATGGCATTTTCACTGAGCCGATTTTAGCCAATAACAGAATTTTGAGTTTACTCAAATATATTTTATATTAAACTTTTTACCTTTTACTACATATGGATTATTCAATTTATTTTTTTTTTGACTAGGTGTTAGCTACCGACATGTCCAAACACATGAGTCTGCTGGCAGATCTGAAGACAATGGTAGAAACAAAAAAAGTTGCTGGTTCAGGAGTTTTACTGCTGGATAACTATACTGACAGAATTCAGGTAAGTTACATTATTTAAAACTTTTGTACGTAATTCAACAAATTCAGAAATCAAAAGATACACTAAATCTATTTTAAAAAAACTTGAACTGAAAAGTAAAAATTTGACATAGGAATTATCTAAATTCACTTCTCAATTTCTACTAAATATATCAACGATATACAAGAACTTTTGTAGGTTACATTTCTGAATGAAAAATTTAAAACAAATTTCACCCATAAATGTAAGATTTTGTTTTTAAATCTTATTTAAAATATTCACTTCTTTCCAAAATAAAAGACTGATTTATACAGAATTTTTTTTATATTTGAATTAATGAATTAGTGTGAGAGATGATATTTTTTTAAATTATGATTAACTTGCACTTTTGAAAAGAAAAAGGTTTTTTTTTTTTTAACACATTTTTATGTATTTTAATTACTTTAATAAAGAAAAAGAAATTTTCTAGAAAAATGTCAGTTCTGTTGTATTTTAAAACTTTTTAAATCAGTTAAGGGTTTTTTTGTTTTTTTTAGGTCTTGCAAAATATGGTCCATTGCTCAGATTTGAGTAACCCCACAAAACCTTTAGAAGTTTACAGAAAATGGGTTGACCGAATCATGGAGGAATTTTTCATTCAAGGAGACATGGAACGTGATAAAGGCTTAGACATTAGTCCCATGTGTGACCGACACACTGCTACTGTAGAGAAGTCCCAGGTAAATATACAGGGTTTTTTTGTTTCTTTCTTTTTTCTTTTATTATGATTTAACTTTAATAAAGATATATATATATATATTCAAACATTATTTTTATTGGTTACACATGTTACAAACAGACTCTCCATTTTTTTTTAAACTATTTATTAATTCTATCAGCCAGTAAAAATAACATTTAAAGTAATAAAAATATTAATAAATCCATTAACTTGACATAAAAGATTATATGAATTGGAAAGGGATCTTTTACAAAACAATACACTCAGTGCATTAGTTGTTCAGCATAATGAGTCTGGCATTAATCACAATTTAAAAAATGCTACTCTAAGTGAAAGCAATTTACTAAGATGAAAATGTATGGAAAGTGCTTTAATCAACCACAGTAAATTTAAGTCCAAGTTCTATGAACATTTCACCTTTCTTGGCAGGTCTTTTATTATCATCATCATGTGGGATATTTAATAACAAAAGCAATAAAAAGAAACTAAATCAAATTGGCTAGATTATGCACAAAACTTTATTTTTTTTTTTTTTTTAGATTTAAAAATTTTTAGTGTCAACCTTTTTTCCCCACTTTTGTCATAGATTTCCCTAAAATATATATTGAAAGCCCTGTGTTGCAAGTTGTCTTATTGCTAGACATATTTTATATAAGAATAAGTTTCTGTGTATATTTACATACTGAATTTATTCTGAATTATTATTTCACTATTAAATTTTGAGAAAAAAAATTAAAAACAAATCTATCAGTCATATAAAAGTATGGAGGGGAGACTATCATTTGATCCAGTGTGCTTTATCACTCAGCTACAAAGAATGTCACAGCAAACAAGGTTCTATTTTCCCTTATTTGCAAAGAAGGACACAAGTTCAATGGCAGATAGATATAATAAACACTGTTTAATAAATGAAAATCAACGTCTATTTCAAATGGGAAGTATCCACTATAATAAACATTTGTAAGTAACAAAAAATGATTAAAATTATATATATATATATATATATATATATATATATATATTATTCATTTTCTCAAAAACTTTGTCTGATAGACAAGATAGAAAAATATTAACCATTTGATTTAGTAAAAGAGGCATGTAAGCAATAAATATTCAATTATTGATTTTGTTGATATTGATATATTGAATCTCATATACTGAGGTGATGTGTAGGTAGGGTAATGGTTATTGGCTTAGAAAGGGAAATTGTCAAGCCAAATTCAAATTTCAGGCTAGTCTGTTGTGCTTCCTTTCGCACGAATGCACTTGGAAAGGCTTGAATCCATTTCTTCTCTCTCCAAAAGATTAAATAACTGGGTAGACTGATTGCTATTGAAGGCTAAGAGAGCTCAGTCTTCAAGAAGAAAACCTGAATTCCAAACCATGAAGAAGACAATGAGAGAATATTTTTAAAAAAAATAAAAAATCATAGCAATTCACAAATAAAGAAAAATCTATGGAGAGCCATGATCACCTATGTCCTGAACAGAGATGGCAGTTAAAAAAAAAAAAGAAAATTATTATATGTATATATATATATATATATATATAGTTTATGCAAATTTAGGTAATCCGTATGGGTAGACCTGAGGAGGATGATATCCAGAGAGCTCAATGTAAAATTCAAATATGTTTGAATAAAGACAGACCACGTTAAGATTCCATGTAATAAGCTATTTCACCATAACCCCTTTAACAGGGTTCTGGATCATCAGACTTTACTTCCAAAAGCTTTCGTTAACTTTGCGTATACTTGATGAGGTCCGTAAAAAATGTGAATTTCTTTTTCATTTTAGCTTTTGGAAGTAAGTCTGATGATCCAGAACCCTGTTAAAGGGGTTATGGTGAAATAACTTATTACATGGAATCTTAACGTGGTCTGTCTTTTATTCAAACAAAAATATTATATATATATATATATATATATATATATATATATATATAAATATATACACACACACAAAGGATAATAAACAAAAATATTTACAAAATATAGATTAATTTTCTAATGGATCGATGTTTTTTTTGTTTTTTTTTATCCAACATTATTTCCTACTACATATTTTGTGGATTCCCATGTTTGTGTAGACACACTGATTTTTTTTTTTTTTTTTTTTTTTTTAACAATAAATTACATCTAGCCTGCAATACTCAAGAGACTTAAAAAAAAAAAAATGTGATCTCTGGCAGGGTTTGAAATCACGGTGATGCAGTGTGCTTTAAGTCACTCAGACACAAGTCCATTTACCCTGCAAATGAATGCACATCCCCCTCATTCAAATCTCCACAAAGGCTCATATCTGCTAATTTTTTTGTATCCAAAACAAAGTTGTTTCTAAGGAATTAGTAGATTTCTTATCCAAAAGCATTTCCTACCATTCCAAAATAACATTTGACCTTGGAAAATTATATATTTCTATTTTTCATTTTTTTTTTTTTTTCAACTCAAATCATAATTAACTAAAAATCAATTCTTTAATATTATTTTTATATTTCTTCTGCAAAGCTCATATCTGTTTGTTTTTCGTAAGAAAAAATTAGCAAAGTAATTTCTGAGGAGTGAATGAATTTTTTATTTGACAACATTTCTTACCATTCCTGTAGTTGAAGAAGAAAAAGAGGAGAGAATTTTTTTTTTTTTTTTTCCAATTACCCTGGAGAAAGGAAATAGAAAAGTGTTAAAAATGTTAGATTAAAATATATATCTATTTCTTTAAGAAAATTATTTAACCTGACATTGTTCAGTTCACACTTTTTTCTATTTCCTTTCTCTTTCCTCTTCAACTACAGGAATGATAGTAAATAATGTTGCATAAGAAATTTATTCACTCCTTAGAAATTAATTTTTCTCTTACTAAAAACAAACAGATATGAGACTTCAAGAAGATCTATAAAAATAGTACTAAAGAATTGATTTATACTTAACAAAATTTTGTTTTATTTGTTGCTTTTACTTTAGTCTTTTTTTAAAAAAGTATTTATACACATAAAACTAGAAACTTTTTTTTTCCACTTATATCCATCAATTAAACTTCATAATTTTTTTTTTTTTTAAATTCATTTAAACAAAAAATATTAATAATTTTATCTTTTTATGTTGCTTAAATCACTTATGGATCATAAACTTAAGTAGATTCTGCCATGTACTCAGCATTTACTATTGTTAAAAACAATTACAATATAAATACTTTCTCTCTTTTTCTCCAATTCCAAAATAACATTTGGTGTCATAGAATATCAATCTTTCATTTTTTATGTTTCAACTCAAATCATAATTAACTACAAATCAATTGTTAACTACTACTACTATTTTTATCTCTCTTCTTTTTTCTTTTTTTTTAAATGCAAAAATTTTGCTTTTATTTCAAACCACTGCCACACATCATTTAAACAAATATAAACAAAGTTTTTATTTGAACAAAGTTCTGTAAACAAAAACTTTATCTCTAAAACGGAAGAGTATCTTTCTAACTTCTGTAATTTTTTTTTCCTCAATTCCAGGTCGGATTCATTGATTACATTGTCCATCCACTGTGGGAAACATGGGCAGATTTGGTTTATCCAAGTGCTCAGGAGATCCTGGATACATTAGAGGATAACAGGGATTGGTACCAGAGTATGAACCCCATAAGCCCCTCAGCTAGCTTCTGTAACAATTCAGGAGGCAGCAGTAGTGGCTGCAAGGATTCAGAAGAGACAAGATTTCAGTTTGACGCCACCACAGAGGATGACAAAAGCCAGCATAGCCGTGACTCCAGCACAGTAACTGTACACTTTGATACCTCAAGTCTGAATGAAGAGACAGCTGATCAGTTAGACAATGAGGAGGAGGAGGAAGAAGAGGAAGAACTGGCCGAACCTTGATATTGTACTCCTTCGCTATAACCAGCATTTTATTTTTTAGTTGTTTGTTTGTTTTCCCTAAGTTATTTTTTTAATAATTTTTTTTTTTAAATTGTGTGTGTGCGCGTATGCTCAATGAAAGAATGAACTCATTGAATATTTTTAACTGCAAAATCAGTTAATGTAAAATTAAAGATACTGCGTAACTACGTTGAATGTAGGGTACGTTGTTGTTTAAAAAAAAAAACTTGTTGCAGGAATGTATCTGCTGATGACAGAACACATCACGTCTTGACGAACTGCTGTGGTGAGTTGATTGACAATATTTAAAGAGAGAGAAAGGAAAAAAAAACGTTTTAAATATTTAATTTATACTATCATAACTTTCATTCGCTCTCTTTGTTTTGTTTTTTTTCACACACCCCTCCCTTTCTACAGATTCTTTAACAAAAAACAAAGTAAAAAAAAAAACAAAAGAGTTTTAACACTCTGCTGAAGTTAACCTTTTTTGTTTTATTTTTTTTTTTTTTGCCTTTACTTTAAAAGCCAAGGCAGTCTGTTTTTATTTTTAGCTTTCTAGAAAAAAAAACAAAGTATTTATACACATAAAACAAGCAAAAGAAACTGAAGAAAAGAAAAATTACTTCCCCCCCTCCAGACTCATGTCCATCAATTAAACTTCATTTAAAAAATAATAATAATGATGATATCTGGTTATCTTTTCATGTTGTTTAAATCACTTATGGACCAAAAACTTGGAGTAGATACTTCCATGTACTTGGCATTTACTGTTGATTGTTAAAAACAATTACAAAATTAACACTGAAAATACAAGTCGTGTCTGTGAGTAGAAAATGACAGTTATTTATTTTCGAAAGAGCTACATTTTGTTCCCCATCACCCCACGCCTTATCTTTTGCTATACACATATCTTAAAAAGAAAAATGGAATTTAAGTTTTCAATTTTTTTTTCCCACACAATGTCTCATTAATATTTAGCATTTCTTTGGAGCAACATCAAAATATTACGTGAAAAAATATTAGTCAAGAAAAAAAATACTTTCTCTTTGAAAAAAAAAAAAATGAATCCATTGTTTTCTGCCAACTTTTATTTATCAAAAGAATTAATTCTTCCAAGTTAATGTTAATTTCTTATTGTAGTGTATGCTTCTGTGCCAGCAAAGCTGCTTGCTTTTAGATCATGAATTAATAAAAAAAAAAAAAAATTGCACACAAAATGAAAAAATTAACCCAAAATTCAAATAGTATTTATAATTTCTCAAAATGTCCTCGTTTTTTAAGTTTAAAAACTCAGAAAAAGTATTCTAAAAGAATAGTGGTAAAATGGTCTTGGATTTCATTATAGTGATTTTCTTTTACAATTAACAAATTTACTTTTCAGATAACTATCCTTTTTTTTTTTTTTTTTTTAAACAATACTCTTAATAATCAATCAAAACCTTTCTGTAAATTTAAGTGTAAGTACCATCCATTATGAGTCATTTTTTGATTGGTTGATTATAAACTTGGCTGTGATTGGTTTATTTTATTTGTTTTAGTGTCTTATCTTTTCTTCCACAAAACTTTTTGCACACTCATTTTGCTGCTGTCTGTTAGCTTACCTGCCAATCTGCTGGTATCTAAGGCACTCAGGAAAACTTTTGGCTTCTTTCAGGAAATGTCAAACTTGTTGAACATTCTGATACTGCTTATTTTCAACTTAAAAAAAAAAAAAAAAATCACCCAGAATTGTTACCTAGCTTTGAATTCTAACCCCCACTTCCCAATTTCATTATTTTTTAGGTGACACTGAATCATACTTTATATGTCCTTTTCTGAAACGAAACATTTTCCAATGATATACAGATGACCACAACTACCATTTACTGAACCTCTTGAAAATATCACTATCTATAAATATGATTTAATAGAATGTTTACTAATGTGTTTTAAAGAAAATCTGCTACATAAAGAGCTAGATCTATATAAAAAACACACGCACAAAACAGTTTACATATGATACAATTAAGTGAATTTATGGTATTTGCTTACTCATAATTATTAGTGACTTGCTTTCTTATGGGCAAGTAATTGCATAGTGACAGTTTCTCAAATATTAGATTAATGTGAAAAGAAATAGATTGTCTCCCCTTGATAAAGAATTTTTTTTTTTTTTTAATGATGCATAGTAATTAATAAAATTTAGACAGACTGCATTACACAACAACATGAACAAACTGCTATAATAATTGGTACTGTTCACCTCCTCCCTCATTACAATTATCATTCTTTTAGCATCTGTTTGAATTTAGGGTTGGGATTTCATTTTTAGTTGCAGGGTGGGGGAATTTCCCATATCCAAGTGTTGCTTTGTTTTTGAAAGCATCTTGAGATTTTTTTTTTCTTATCTTGCAACCCTATGAATCATACTATTTATATACGGGCACTCTGCAATGCAAAATATATATATATATATATATATATACATACACACACGCACATAAAAACATTTTGATTATTTACTTGCTAGGATCTGCCATGCCATATTCATGGTGGCAAGCCATCTTCATCATGTTCCTTTGATAAAAATCAAGTTCCATACAGATAGCTTCTTCCCCAGAACCATTACTTTGTGGAATAAACTCCTGAGAGAATACTCCCCTCAACAACTACAATCTTGGTCTCTAAGTTCATGGTCAACTGATATCTATCCTCCTCATTCTCATAATACTCTTACTTCCCCACTCTCTTACAATTTCATTCAGTAACCCTCTACCTTAAATGGCTCTTAGGCCTTGTATTGGGTGAACTAGCAGTAGAAAAAATAAAACAACAAATTAACAATCTGTTCATACAGTGTGATTTTCAAAATGAGTGTTTGTCTTTTCAACACTCCTGAGCTATAGAGTTCTTTTTCAGTTTGCAAAAGGAATGCATCAGCATGCTGACAGTTCAAAATAATTTTCTTCATTTTGTCTATTAATCCATTCATGTTTTTTTTAATTCTGATTTTCAGTTTCTTTGGTTTTTGTCATCTTTTTTATTAAAAGTATTTAAAATAGAGCACTCTTATATACCTAAGAAAAGGAATATGCAAATTTATATATAAGACGCACACATATAATGTATTATTTCCAAATGGAGAAAAAAAAATTTATTTTTTAATACTTTTTACTAATTAAAAAAATTAAAAGTTGTGTATTTTGTTTTGATGAGGAAAAATGCCTAAACAAAAGGAGTAAATAACTTTTTGTTATTAATATTCCTTGTGAGGAGGTGCTAAAAAGTTTTCAGTATCACCAATAAGGGATGATTTAAGAAATAAAAAATGCTAATGTTTGGTCAGTTTTTTTGGAAGTGGGTCAGGTAGAGATTTTTTTTAGCACCTTCTCATTATAACGGAGTCAACCAGACAAACAGATATTTCAACATTTATCACATAGCTATGTCCACATCTGAATGAAAAATCTGATGCCCAGAAACTATAAATATCTACAATATACCTATTTTTTGCAAACATACCTTCTTCTGAATCAGAGTAACTTGTGTGGTAGTTGTTTGTTTAATCATCTGTGATGTTGGCTTCAAATGAATACTTGGTCTCGTTTCATTTTTATACAATAATTTGTCTATCCTGTTAATGTACCTTATAGCATATTTCCACCATTGAAACTCTAAAGATGTATTTCTATATCTTTTGTTTGTCTCTCGCTGTTTGAGGCATAACCAACAATTATATATAATACTTAAATTTAATATTAAATCTGATACTGAAGTCTTAAAAACAAAACAAAAAATGTTGCAGAAAACTCAAACTGATCCTAGTGTATTGATAATAGTAATATTAACCATTTCCTTATAACAAAACTGTCAGCAATCATTGGCCAAGTAGCCAGTGCTGCTTTCAGTTTAAAATTATAAAGTTTTTCAGGAAAATAGATTTATCAAGTCCAGTAGCTGCTATTTGCTCCTTCCAGTATTGATGGGGACTTCATCCCTTGCCTTTTGTTTGAGGTAATGTGGAATGTTAGCATCTTCAAATGGTAAACTATTACTGTCAGAGTGTAATCCTACATCTGTAACCAAGAAAAATTTAGTAAACAGCTTCACAAATTCATGACTGAGTTTCTTGGTTGGTAATACACTTGTTTTTTAATTATAAAATTGATATGTTCTTTTAACAAAAAATGAATCTGGTACATGTTGAAGAGAAAAAAAAATAGTTGGTCATATTTTTCATATAAGATCAAGGTCTTTATTGAGAGATTATTGCTTACCATCTTAAATCTAGATGAACTGTGGACTTTATTACCAGGGGAATGTAAAATATTAATTTATAGGTCTACACATGACTACAAAAAAAAAAAAAATTCTAATTAAAAATACACTATACACATCAGCATGACCAAGATGGGAAAATTGTTATTCTTATGCAAAGAGAAGAACCATGAAAGCTGGTTTTGTTGTGACTATTTTTTTTTCTGAACATGAATTAAAATTACCAGTTAATTTTTAACATATAAAGCTACTGTTGCTGCTTCTGTGTGCTCTGTTTCTTCAGGACATGAACGATCATGGCTCGCAACAACTTACCTGACCAAATAATCTTCAATTGAAAAGCAATTCAACTTTGATTTCAAAATTCTATTTTTTATTTTCATTGCTTTAATGCTTGCCAAGACAAATATTATCACTTGGCAATTTAAAATCCCCTATAATTATAGAATATTCTTCAGCAAGTAGAGGAAAAAAAAATTAATTTTTCTTATGCTCACACTGTAAAAAGGAAATAGTTAATACATTCAATATTAAGCTTCTTTTTTTTTCTTTCATTTATTTTAACAAAGAAAAAAAAACACTAATAGTTACAGGTAATTAGTCAACCTAATTTGTAATCTTTGTCATTTTAACAAATCTACTGCAGTGTGGGTTTTTGCCATACCATAGTTCATGAGTGAACATAATTCTTGGTCATTCAATATTCAGCTTGTGTTAACCTTTTTTTTTTTTCTTTGCACATT